AAAGGTTTATTCACAGATGATCTTTGATTCGCGTCACAGATCCTCAAAAGCGTGCAAAGGCGACCTTTACAAAACCTTTAACAACGCATTTGACGTGCCGATACAACCTGAGTAGTGCTGTCTAAGGCAAGATATCACTTAGTAAGCCTGCTGGGGCCAGTTTGTTCTCATAATTGTTTCATTCAAGTTTCTTTACTTGGGATGAAGTGTGAAGATCTCTCAGTCTCTGACTCCCTTTAGTTGTTTTATTTCCAGTTTGCATTTATAATTTTTATAATTCATGCGATGTACCAACCGGAACGCAAAAAGTTTACTCTTCAGGTGTGAAGAACTTTGTTGATTAGAAATGTACGTGGCACAGTTTAATGCGATGTAGCGTCATGTTGAAATACCCAAGGGACGCAGTTTGGGAAATTTTACCTTTTTATTTGCAGACGATCGCCATTGCGAAATTTACGACAAACGGTGTATATGTTTGGCTTTTTGCTTTTATTTTGTTGTCCTACTGAGCCCTGGGCGCACCTGGGAGGAACTGTAATATTTTCACGTCATTCCTTGTAATTTCTAGACTGGGTAGGGAATTAGCAAGTTCTTCTCGCATTGCATGGATCATTAGTTCATTCATGTTTCGTTCAGTTGCAGCACGAGTAAATTTGAATATATCCCAGCCGTAACCAAGTTATAGATGGATCATTTCTAGCATGCAGTGCAGACCTGAAAATACATCACTGCAGTTTTAATTTCAAGTTGTGTAGAATGCAGAACTTGCTTAACCATAAGACAGGACACGAACAATGACCCAACAAGTTTAGTATCCGTGGTGTTTTTTTATCATGGATATTCGCACTGCATAAATTATCGACATTGCATGTAAGTCAACAAACCACATGAATAATTTGATATTGTTGATTGGAGCGGCCTAAGGAATATACCAAATGCAGAGGAACCGGAACTGCCAAAAGAATGTCGTCAAATCTCTCCCTCCGTTTGAGTATAATGCCCAGAGGAACGTTTCACTCTACCCCGCCGAATTTTTTTCCCATAACTTAAATAGATTGTTTTCACGTGACGTCATCAAATTCCAAAATCCAAAACTTAAGAGCCACGAAAGGTTTTGTCCTCATCAGGAATAAGGGTATCTAAACTTATATCTGTTTACAACTTTTCAGCTCAATAGCGTGCTTGGCTTAGAAACCAGCGCAGTTTGAAGTTCAGAGTTATGGCAGTGAGTGAAATACCGCTCCGATCGCGTTTGTGGAAAAATATACACTTACCTAGTGATTTTCAGTCTTTTTAGGAGATAAAGTATTAGGAAAAGTGCTTGTGTAAATTTTTTATGGTTCGGTCCAGATAATCAGTCGACTAGATAGCCGAAGAAAGTTCCAGATGTTTGCACTATTTTCCGGCCGCCATATTGGTGGAGCACAGAGCTGCAACAACACGGCGGCCCCATACTGGGCTCTGTAAATTTGCGCAAAACATTTCGACGAATATCCGAAGTTTGGGAGAACGCAGAGACCCAAAACTTGGAGAAATGTCTTCTTTACCTATCTCCTATAACATTACAATTTCTTGACTTTATCCACTGAATAGTTTTCGTTGTTTTTCGTTGCGTGACAGTGAAAAGATCTGAAAACCATCTAATGTTGCAGTGCGTAATAGAATACTAACCACAGGAATCTTTTTTGTTTTAAACTTAAGGAGATTTTTGAATTGACGGCGAATAATTTCTTTTTGGGTCTTAGCGTATTATTTCTTGAGTTGTGATCTGTTTCAATCGTCAGTTCTACCCTTACCTGTAACTCTGGCATGGATTCCATGACGAAGCATCCAACGGACCTTACTAATGGTGTGCTTGTATCTAAGAAGCAAAGAGCATTAGTTCACAAGACAGCAGACGCATAATTTGTCTGGACTGACTGGGTCTCTAGCAGATGTCCGTGATTTGCATCATCATAGAACATAAACTTTTGTTTAGTTTAAAGCTCTCATAAAGCGAAATGATTTTTTTTCTGTTAGCCTTAGAAAAATTTACTCGAACTTATTTATTCCAAATTGCACTCAAAATCATTTGATTACCTACTCAACTGGAACGATAATGTGTTGGTTTTTGGATTTTACAGTGAACGTTTTGCAGCTCTTCTACTTCATTCAGTCGCTTTCGTTGTACCTTTATAGGCCCTTTCAATTAAGTGTTCCGTGCTTAAAATTTTTGTTGTTGTTGTTGTTGTCTCCAGGATGGCACTGTCATTATTTCCTGTATTTTCGTGATAAAAAGTTAAACAAATGTGCTGCTTTCACTCATTTTCACCGACAGACCCTTTTCCGGCGAAACATTTTAAACTAAGCTACTCTTGCCGCATTCATTTTCCGTATACGGAGAAACACAGGTATAATGGCTGGTAACCGTTATTTAGTGCATGAACCAATCAGAAAGCTTGAAAAGCGTCAACAGAGATATAGAATTTGATGAAGTAAGGCATACACACACCGATGGAAAATTAAGGCGAAAACTTTGCAAGGAACATGAATCTTATTGCTGATTTTTCCAAGAAAGAGAAACGAAGCGCCAGGAAACAATACGAACTGATAAACACGATAAGAGTTGAACACTGACTTAAAAAAAATCAAAAATCAAGTTCAAAACGTATATACGAAGCGTGACTAAATGTGGTTAATGGCGATAGTGCGACCGTGACAGTTATATTAACCCTCATTTAAAATGAATGGAAGGAATCAGGAAAGTTGGGAAAAACCACTATTTGATGTTTTATTCACTGTTACAACATTCTCGCCACTTGCAGTTGAATTGATTGGGTTAAAAATTATAATATTTCCATTAGTTTAAACTAAAAAAGTATCAAATAATTTCTTATAGTTTCCTGGAAACAGATGGCTATTACAAGACCATAGCAACAGAATATATCATCTAATCGTGACTAAATTGAGCCAATTCGAGATTAAGAGTGAATTCACGATGTCTTTTAATTATCAGTCAGAATCTTTGATTTGCAACAGTATGCTATAACTTCGTACGACAGTTCTATGTTCAGCGATAACAGTAACGGGAGAGTCCGAAACATTTTTAGTTCACTAGTTTTTATTACATAGACTTCCATTGTGTAGTAAATGTTGTGGCACTGTTTTGCAGTGTAACATTGTTTTAAAGCTAAGTGTAACCTCTGTGTGTGAATTTTTTTATCAGGTTGTTGATCTAGAGTCATGGCAACTGATGGTTACAAGAAGATCCCCAACGATGACGAGGCAGAAAAAGTCAGCTTTGTGTCTCTTCTTCTCTTTCAATGGATGAACAGTGTCTTCAAG